TGATATATATATATATATAATATTAGTGTTATATATAACATAAGAGTAATTTTGTTTACTTCTTATTGAATTGTGTTTAGTTAAAAATGACACGAATTGGAGTCTTCCTAGAAGATGAATATGGACAAGACTCCAAACATACAATAGTAATAATACATCCATAATCCAATACAAAATTGTCTACGAAATTAAATAACTCCGTCAATTTGTCGACGTTTGAATATACTTTTAAATTAAACGATAAGTATGAAAAGAGAAAAGTATATATATATATATATATATATATGTATGTATATTGAAATGAAAGTGACACAAATATATTGGTTATCAGCTACAAAGCGTCATCCTTGTAGAATTTGCTATTTGGGCTTTGCATTTTATAGTTCAACTTACTCCGTAAGTCTTCGCATATGCCATAAAGATGCGTTAAATATATCGCAACGAATGTCACGATTTTTGCCTTATCGCTTCCTAAATCAAACGTCCCAATAATAAGCAAACATCAATATTAATTATCAAAGCTCATAGTTTTAGCTATTTTTGCGATATGGTGGCGGTTTTTTTTCTTTTTTCCTTTTTTTTTTCCCCCTCGAGGAACAGGTTTTTGCAGCCATAAAACAACTTGCCCAATTAGAAAACAAAAACAGGTCATTTCACATAATAATAATAATAATAATAATAATAATAATAATAATAATAATAATAATAAACAAAAATAAGAAAAAAGGGTTAGGGTAGTTTTATGAGAATTATTTGACGGAGTATAAAATAAATCTAACGTTTAAAACCAGTCACGTTAATGCGTGGTCGTATCCATATTAGAAAAACATTTATTTAATTGCTAGACAGATGATTGGGAGCTGTTTCATCCAATGAGTTTCTTCAATTGTGGGCACAAGGTTTCTTGAGAGTTATTTGATGCGTGATTCCTGGCTTTTTTTGTTTCCTTTTTTTTCTTTGTTTAAGGAAACAAAGTAAGCAATTGTTGCTTGAACCGGAAATCTTTAGGTGTTGGCCAAGCAATAGACCACTAATCATGATTCTTTTAACAAAATGTAAATGTAGTGTCTTCTTTTTATTTATTCATTTAATTTTTTTTTATTAAATTTTTACAAGCCGAAATATTGAAGACCTTCTGTAGTGTACACTATTTTGCTTCAAGGTCTTTAGGAAGGTCAGCCTGTCTTCTAATTTTCTTACCCTAATTTGCCGGCGGCCATAGTTTTTCAAAATTCTCTCGTCAACAATGAGAAATTTCAACATTTTGTTCTCACCAATTTATTCAGACAAAGTTCTATTCAAAAAGTGGCCTTAGATTATATATATATATATATATATATGAACGAGTTTATGTATATACATGTAAATGGGCCTAGGAGAGCCAAATTTTCAATTTCAAATCTATGAAAAAAGTTTGAGCAAAGTGCTTTTTCTGTCCCACGCATGTACATATACTGCATTACAACATTATTTGGCTCTCTCTCTCTCTCTCTCTCTCTCTCTCTCTCTCTCTCTCTCTCCTTGTTTTCTTAATAAAATGGGTTTCTTCCTATTTGACAATAGATGAGAAAGAGTGACATTATGAACCACTCAATTTGATCGCATGATTAATAATAGAATTGATGCGTGGAAGTGGTAATGATCATGTTATGTGTCCCAATGCTTTTATGCATTTGATGCTGAGCACCATTAACCTCGTTGGTGTAGGCGTGGAGCAACCAATACCTTGGACTACTTTATTTGTCTGCCGTCTATGTAATGATATTTTGATACTTTTTTCTGCCTTTTTTTTCAAAAAAAAAAAAAAAAATTAAGTAAAGCATGCTTTTTTTTTTTTTTCGAAAATGCTAAATTGGATTTCATATTATAACCGACATCAACAAATTCTATAGGAACTTTTAGCTAAAACACGAAATAGTCAATAGTCACATGTGCAGTTTAAATAGAAATCACAGTTCACATCTATTTTAACAAGGGAAAAAGGTTCCGAAAGCACTTTTTTCCCCTGCATATTTGTCTGTTAAGAATTGTTCTTAGATTTCAAAACAACTAAGCTCATTTTCTCTTGAAACTTATAAAATGCACTAAAGTTGTGATTGTAAGTGAACAATGACAATCTCTATTGAACATGAACTAGAAAAGGAGGCCGAAGACCATAAATATGTATTCATGCAGGAAAAAAAAAACCAATTTACTTTTCTTTTCATTGGTAATATGGACTATTATGAGCAGAAATAAATATGGTCCATAAAATCTCATTAAATAGACTTTGATATATATATATATATATTATTTTCTGAGAATATGGGGTCAAATATTTACACGTTGCAAAAAAAGAAATAGGCCTGGGCCTCACCCATGCCAATGGGCCCACCACTTTTGCCACATCACATCTGCCAACTCAGACACCAATTTGTTCTCAACTCTCTCTGTGAAAGCCACAACGATCACAATTATTCTTGGACATGGCAGTTTCTCCATTTCTCATTGGTTGCCATCTATCCACTAAAGATTTCGCTCTATCAACTGAAAAATAAATAAATAAAGAAAAAGAACCAACAACAACGACAGAAAAAACTCTTTGATGGAGTTTGAACCGAAAAGCTAGTAATTTTAGCCATGGCAACGTCAGTCTCTCGGTCGGCAACAGCGCCAAGTCTTCATCATCTCTTTCGATCACGCAACGCAGCGGCGTCGTTTAGAGCGCCGGTCGTGTGGGTGCTGAAAACGGCGTCGTTGGAGGGGGGCAGTTCGGTGAGTGGAGGCCAAGATGATGAGTTGTATCGTGCTCCGAGCTTGCTTCGAAAGCCCGTGGTGATTAATGGCGACACGGCCGTATCGGATGAGAAAGATCGGTCGGAGCCGGATGAACAATGGGAGGATTGGGAAGATCGGATCTTGGAAGAAACTGTGCCTCTCGTTGGTTTTGTTAGAACTGTCCTTCACTCTGGAAAGTAATTAATTTATATTTGCGTTTTCCTACTTGATTTATTCTCATTCTTATGGTTTATTGTTTTGTGCGAGTGCATCACATGTTCATATACCTTAAGTTGTGCGGAGCCTAATTATCGGAGATATATATATATATATATATATTTATATTTTCCCGATTTTGATCCCATATTGGGATACATAAGGGATTTTAAGCAAAAGAAAAAAGAAAAATTTTCCACGAAAGATAAGAACAAAGAGAGTGAGGAAGACATTTTGACCGTAGATTGTACATTTTACTTTTTTTTTTTTTCTTTTCCTTCTTATTATAGAGAAATTCTACAACGAGTTCTTGCACTATAAATCTTTACGAGTGTGCTTCGTTTATTTTTTCCTTTAGAAATCTCTCTAGTGTTTCCTCTGTTTTAAAAACACCGATATTTTCTATTTATTTGTATTATTTTTCAATCTAATTTGACTTTTGATCAAATTTAAATATGAAACACAGAGAAAATTCCTTTTTTCTTTTATCACATTTTCTTATTGCTCTTAAGCAGAAAGAAGTAGGAATATTTAATTTCTAACATCATAATGATTATGACATTCTATCATAAGTACATCTGATTGTCCATCTTATTTGTTTTATTAAAATTAAAATAGCATGTAAATTTAAGCAGCAAAATCTATAAGGTGTTAGAAACATTCACTATTGAGTCCACTAGGATATCAGAGCTGTATATATATGAAATTGTTACCTTGAATTGTATTGACAAAAGAAGCTAGTTCTGCAGATATAAGGTTGGGGACAGACTAAGACCTGAGCATCAGAACATAATTCTTGAGAGGCTGCTTCCTTATCATCCCGAATACGAGGCAAAAATTGGCTGCGGAGTCGAGTCAATCACGGTATCAAAAGTCAAAAATTCGGGATTTTTTGTATGCTAATATATACATATATATATATATATATATATTGTGCATAGGATTTTGATTATTCCTTCCAACAATGAACAATATAATCAAAATACAATATTGGTTGTATCAATTTTGTTTTTTTTTAATTTGTTTGAAGTTATGAAGATACTAGTTAATTTCCTTACAGGTAGGTTATCATTCAGAGTTCAAAGGGACAAGGTGTTTGTTTATTGTTAGGAAGGATGGTCAGCTAGTTGATTTCTCATATTGGAAATGCATGAAGGGCTTGATCAGGAAGAAGTATCCTCTCTTTGCCGACGCTTTCATTCTCCGACACTTTCGACAACGCAGGCGCAATACAAAGAATTGAAACTCTTGACAGAAACCATATTTTGGCCCCGGTTTTATTTTCCCTAACGTGAAACGACCGTTGATTAAGAAAAGTTTTTCATGGCTACGAGAAAACACTCTAGTTGTTTTCAGAAAATTGGCCCCTTTAAATAGACTCACCGTCTGTAAGCTCATATGAGAAGGAGAATTGAGCTTCCCTAAGTTGCTCTACATGGGATTGTTTCATGGCTCAATAGTAACTTTGTTTGAGACCCCAATTTCTAAAGCATGTATGGGAAACTGATTATGTAAACAAATTCATTATATGTCGAATTGTCTACTGCTTTGTATCTAGTATTTTTCTTTGGGAAAATCTTTTTCTATTTCCCCACGTACATAAAGAGTTTCCTTCTAAAGACAGCTCAATTTTTGAAGAAAATATTGAGTAAAAGAATTTTATTTTAGGCTCCAGGGTTTTTGCCTGCATATCTAAGTTCCTAACTAAATTGGTTTCGTTTGTGGACAAAAAAAGAAAAAAGAAAAAAAAAAAACTCGTGTAATAACGATATTGGTTTGGTTTGCAGACAGAAACGATTATTTGTTTCCCCAAAACAACAACATCCTCCTCTTCGAGAAACGAGAAAAATACACAAGCCACAACTTTTAAGTAAACGACAGCAAATTTAAAAACGGCAACCAAAATTTTCAGGATACGACAGTAACTCTTATAAAAGAAAGCCTAACAGAAACTTTTTCCATAAACAACAAAACTACCTTAACGACAACTCCCTACAAATGACGACAATACCTTTTCTAAAAAAAAAAAAAAAAAAAAAAAAAAAAAAAAACAAGATTTTGTAAGCGACAGGAACTTTATAAAACGATAGCATCGCATAAAGGAGCAGAACCAGGCCAGTAGTTTGTCTTGGGCCGTCAAGCACTGCGAAAGCCCAAATTGAGAAACCTCGCTTGCTCGCCAATCCCTCTCGAATCCTTGTATCCGCTCTTACGCGCGGAGAGAGAGACAGACAGAAGAAGAAGACGACGAGGACGAAGAAGAAGAAGAAGGGTTAGGGTTAGGGTTTTCCCACCAATTGGGCAGAATTCTGATCGGAGACGAACCAACAGGATGTGGCACGAGGCGAGGCGATCGGAGCGGAAGGTCCACGACATGATGGACGCGGCGCGGAAGCGAGCCCAGAGGCGAGCCATCTTCCTCGCCAAGCGCCGCGGCGATCCCCAGCAGTCCATCCAGCTCGTCGGAACTCGTTGTCGTTTGTACCGCGACGACGGTCTCTACCATGCCACCGAGGACCAGCAAGGCCTGTATGCTTCTACTTCTATTTTCCCCTTTTAAGTTAATTACAAGTTTTGTTCATTTTTACTGTAATTAATTGAAGTTTTATTGGTTTTGAATCTCTGTTTTTGATCTCAAATTGCAATGAAATTGCTAGAAAAATTGTTAATTTTGGAATAAGTACTTGAATTTAGGGCTAAAAGATCAATCATTCAAACTTGTTTTGCGCATTATTGGGGTTTGTTCATTTTTTACTATTCAATTAAGAACCTTAGCATTTCGACATTGTTAGCTTTTATCAAGAATTGAGGTTCGCCAGCCAGTTATTTATTGTTAAATTATCTGGGCCCGTTGAGAGTGATGATGAACGTGATCCATGAAGTGCCTGTCACTTTTTTCTCCCTGCAACTTAGTATTGAGTGATCAAGTTATATATATATATATATATATATATATATTTACATATATGCTTGTACTTTTAAGTTCATAAGCTGCAAACCAGAGTAATTTTTTTTCCTTGGCCCTTGCAATTTCTAATGGTTGCTGTAGTCTTAGAAGATTGCGCTTTTAGTTTTTGGGGCTGTACTACTGTTGCTGATTGTTGAAAGTCTTGTTACTCAGATTTTGTGCTAATCTGTAAATTTTATCTCAGGATTCCTTGGAATGGGAAACAAGATGTTTTAATTGACAGGTATGATCTTTTTCCTGTGTTTCTCTATTTCATGTGGTTTCATCCTACTGTTTTGATCTATTGGCGAGATTGAGGGATGGTTTTGTCTATGTGAGCAGATTTGATGGGCGCGCTCTTCTTGATTTCATTCGGGAACCTGGGTCTCGACATTTCCGGGCCCAAGAAAAGTCTGAAGAAGAGGAAGAATTAGAAGAGTTTGTTAATTTTGAGCGTTATCGGGATTTAATTAAGCATCGGCGTAGAGGATGTCGGTACTTTTTGTTAATTTTTTTATGTCACATTAAATTGTTGAATAATTCAAAGTGTCATATGCTATTTCCTTAGTCCTTATTTATCTCCTATGTTTGACAATTTTATATAAAGGTCAAAGGTCTTAATTTTCCATTTTAATTATATAGTGAAGGTTTAATTGTTTTAGTGTTACAAGCTAAGTTGTGTGTGAACAGTTACTGATGAGGAGGGTTTGCAACATGTGGATCAAGAACTGGAGGCAAAGGTTACTGCTTCATTTGCACCACAGAGGTGTTTTCCTTTTTTTATTAATCTTTTAGTTTTTGTATTATAAAGTTTTAGGGTGTAGGATTTTGCTTAATTATTTCTAACTAGATTCTTTATAGTTTCTGAGATAGTTTGAGTTTGAAACTCTCTCTCACCGTTTGAAAAGAGCTTATGTACAAAGTTTTTCGCTATATGCATCTATGAGTAGTTTCATATGTTAAAATCTTTTTTTTTTTTTTTTTCTCTTTTTAAAAACTTTCATGCATATTTGGCAGATCTCAAGTGGCACAACCTCCTGCAACCAAAGGTTCTTATTCACAGGTTGGATTCTCCTATGAAGGGGATGGAAAAGAGGAAACTCATGTTTCAGACCATGACGATATTGATGAAGATGACGATGATGATGATAACGATGACGAAGATGATGATGATTTCAATAGTGATGATAGTAATGATGAAGGGATGGATAAAATAGCGAAGGAGTTTGGAGTACAAAGGTATGGTTGGCTTGTTTACATGGACAAGAAAGCTAAGGAGGAAGAGAAAAGGCAGAAAGAGGTGATCAAAGGTGATCCTGCAATTGTAAGTCCTCTCAAGTTTGGGTGGTAAACCTTTGTTTTAATTGCCCATCATCTTTCAAATATCACCCCTTTTTTTTTTTTTTTTTTTTTTTTTTTTTTGTAGAGGAAGCTTAGTCGCAAGGAGAGAAGGAAAGTTTCTCAGATAGAAAGGGAGAGAGAAAGGGAAGCTGCACGGATGACTGGAAGTCGTGTCCTCCATCATGATCCCTACCGGTATAAGATTACAGATTCTACTAAATGTTAACTAAAAGATTGATCCAGTTGTAATTTTTAGTATTTGACATATTGATTTTTGTTCATGAAAGTTTGGTTCGCTATTTATTTTATGTAGTGAAACAAGGCGAAGTCCAACATATGAAGCCTATCCTCGTTCAAGAAGGTCCGTCCTCTACGTTATTGTTTTATGTACAGTTTATTTCTTAGAAACGGAATTTGGTGGACTTGATGAAGCTAAATGTTGCCTTTGGTTTGTTCAGATCAAGATCAAGATCATACTCACCATCATACTCTAGGCGTTATCCTCGTGGTCGGCATTCTGATGATATTCATCGAAGCAAACCAGTGACTCCTAAGATAGAATACATTACTGAATTTGGTGGCTCTGGCGCTGGTGCGAGTGAAACAAGGCTTGAAGGATTTTCTCCACCATCTTCTCCTCCATCACAGACTGATGTGTTAAACCGGTCGGAGCACTCGACCTTTAATTCTTGCAAAGATAGATTGGACAATGTTTTCTCTGCTGCAGCTTTTCCACATTTTGTTACCTGAGGAAAACTTTTGTGTGGTTTAGAATAGATCAGGCCTAGGGTTATCAGCATAACTGCCAAGAGGAAGTGGGGAGGAGGCTTTTTGAAGCTCATATTCTTAATCCCTGAAATGGACTTTCTAAAAACACTGCGACTTATATTGAACCATTGAAAGGGGTCTCTCTAATACTTGTCTTTCATGCAGGCCATCATCCGGTCACATACTTGAGGCACTGCATGTTGACCCTGCATCTGGTGTATCTTTAAATAAGGACAAGGGCACTAAAGTGCTGAAACCGTCAGTAAGGTATGCCATGAGTCTTGAGGATATTTTACTTTCATGATTGATCGATGTAATCTTGTGAAGACTGTCCCTAAACGTGAACAAGTCTGAGGTTTTCTTGACCTTTTCGCAAATTTATGTGGTTAATTGATTTTCTTGATTTTCATGAACTCTCTCAGTTTAGAACACTTCCTAAGTTTCTGTTCTTCTTTTGCAGCACATCCTCAGCATTAGCAAAGTTAACTAAGGCAAGTACTTCTGGGGGCTCACTGAAACAGCCAGAGGGGGAGAAAAAAGAAACTCCTCAGGAAAGACTTAAGAGGATCATGAGCAGGCAGCTAAATAAGCAAAGTACGTCTCTCAACTTGTGCATCTTTTAGGGGAAGCAGTAAATCAAATAATTTCCAACTTCTGTTATTTGCTTTTGTTATGAGCGTACATTCCACTTCTTTTCTTTTATTATTGGATAGATTGTTTACTTCTTCTGCTGAGAGGTCAATGTTGGTTGATTTACTGATACCTATTATTGAACGTGCTGCCTTTTCAGTTAAGAAAGATACAGCCGCAGAAATGGCTAAAAAACGAGAGCAGGAGCGCCAGAGGTTAAAAAAACTTGCAGAAACAAACCGAGTAAGTCGATATAGGCATCGTAGTCGTAGCAGGAGCTACAGCCGTTCCCCTCCAAGGTTGGTCCTTCTGTTTGTCCATGATGCTTCTAGTTTTCAAGCTCTGCCTGAGTTTCTATTAATTTCAATAGTAGTGGCAGTTCTTTGAGTTTTGTTTTGTTTTTTTTTTAATTAATCTGAGTAGCCCTGAAAATTTTCTCATCTTAGCTACTAGCGTGATGCTAATTTCCACATAAGCATGTTCTAGAGAGTAAATACTATAACTTGATGGGTCCTTTTCATATATGTTAAATGTTGTTTGTGTTCTTTAATGCGGATGTTTGTTATCTTTTATACACTCTTCTTAATAAATATTTTTCATTCTACAGCTGTGTATTTGATGCACGACACTGGTGCTTAACATGCTTTTGTAGCAATGGGCTTGAATTAGCAATATTATGTTTCTTCATTTCAGTTAAAATTTATTAGCATGACGAATTACTCTGGGTGAATAATGTGCATTTATAGAAGGTACAGGCGAAGTAGAAGCCCCAGTAGAAGCAGGGGTTCCCGAAAATATAATTCGCGTTCCCGATCTCGTTCACTGTCGCGCTCTCCCTCTCGCTCCTGTACACAGACTCAGTCTCGTTCTCGTTCCCGCTCTTACTCCCGTTCACCAAGAAGGTGAACTCTATTTTCCTTCCCCTTTTGTAGCCCGGTACGTGTTATTCAAGTTATTTTTTGTACACTGGGGGAGTCTAATATAGGGAGATGGTATTGCAGGGTAAGAAGTCGATCGAGATACTAGTAATCTTAAAGATTATGACGCCAATCAAGGTTCTTTCATGTGTTTCAAGTCCTTTTATACTATAAAAATGTAGCAGTGAATCAATCAGCATATGCCTGAGATTAGTGTTGTTTTTTGTTTTTATAGATATATATATTTTTATTTTATTAGAATTGCTTTATTGTGAATTCCC